GAGCGAGCCGCTCCGGAGCATGGCCCGGAGCCTATACCACAGGGAGCGGCCCGGCACCGCGTCGGCGGCCGGCGTGCCCGGGCGGCGCGGGGCGACAGCTTGGTCCGCGCAGCCGGGGAAGGTCAGCCGCGTGGATGGCCCGACACGATGCTGATCTACGGCCGTGTCGAGCGGCGGCGCGAGCTGGCGGCTGACGATACCAGAGCCAATATCCCGTCGGCAAGATCAGGTCCGGCCCGACGGCGTCGGTCGTGGCCTGATCAACATGGAATCGGATGGCGATCCGCGCGCGGTGCAGGTGCTTGACGCACGCAGACCACCACGTGAGCGGGCGGACCGTGACGGGCCAGCTGTCCAGACAACCGCGCCGCCTGGCGAAGGCGGTCTGGCTGTGACGCTTCCTAAAAACGCGGCAAAATGCTAGCAATTCGCAGAGACTACATGGATCTAAAATAGAATCACGATGTACCGGGAGCAGGGCTGCTGTTGACAATAACGCGGCGCCACACATAACTTCTGGAGCACGTTCTCGGAAGATCTCAGATAAGAACTATCTACATGTGTTTGCGTTTCTCAGACATTAAGCCCACATTAACTGGCAGCCTGCCAGCTAGGATGACACAAAACACAACCGGCGCGTCATTTTTGACTCAAAACAAAAACACCACGTGGTGAAAATACCAAAAGACATTGACAAAGCGGCCTTTACCCTTCACGAATACAGACCTGACTACACCACCTGGAGAAAATCGGCCAGAGCATACCGGGCTGACGTAGAACGAACGCAACCCGCGTCACATGCATCACCATGATCGGCCCGATGAGGTTCATTCAATGACCTCAAATGAATAAAAATAACACACAGCCGCCTGGCTGCCCCGATCTTAAACAACGCAGGCTCTCGAGCGTTGCCCGTCCGTCTGCCCCCTGCGCCTGCGCGCCCGTCCGCCTATCCCCGGCACCTGCCTGCCCGTCCGTCTGCCCCCGGCGCCTGCCCGTCCGTCCGTCTGCCCCCGGCGCCTGTCCGCCCGTCCGCCTGCTCCCGGCGCCTGCCCGCCCATCCGTCTGCCCCCGGCGCCTGTCCGCCCGTCCGTCTGCCCCCGGCGCCCGCCCGCCCATCCGTCTGCCCCCGGCGCCTGCCCGTCCGTCCGTCTGCCCCCGGCGCCTGCCCGCCTGCTCCCGGCGCCTGCCCGCCCATCCGTCTGCCCCGGCGCCTGCCCGCCCATCCGTCTGCCCCGGCGCCTGCCCGCCGTCCCGCCTGCTTCCCGGCGCCTGCCCGCCAGTCTGTCTGCCCCGCCCCGTCCGTCTGCCCCCGGCGTCTGCCCGACTCATCCGTCTGTCTGCCCCGCCCCGTCCGCTCTGCTCCCGGCGCATGCCCGCTCATCCGTCTGTTGCCACGCCCGTCGTCTTGCACCGGAGTCTGCCCGCTATCCGTCTGTACGAGTGGAGCTCTGACCCGTCGCCACCCCACCGGCAGGGACGAGCCGACGGTGATGTACGGCCGCGGCCAGACGCATTTATTTGCGCCGGCCGTACCCCCTGTATGATATGAATGCCCGAGCCGGGCAGGGACGGTGCGCTCATGGACTCGTGCCTCTCCGGCCGACGACCAAGCCGGACAGCCGGGCGGCGCCGTATCCGCCGCCGGGCCGCCGCGGCACGGGACGGCACGCGTGCGTCTGCGGCGACGCGCCGCCGCTTGTCCGTAATGAGCCGGCAGACGCGCCGAGCTGAGCAGCGGCGGCCTGGACTCCAGGCGTGCCGGTGAGGCGAACGCCGCCCTAGCTCCGACCCCACGCCTGCTGCAGACTCCCCGGGATCACCACGAGCGCCTTGGTCGGTTGGCAGGGCGGCGTCAGCGGAATCTTGCGAGCTCGCACTGTATTCGTGTGACCCATTGAGAGCGACTGCGAGAATACCAGCTGAATACTGCGGCTGTCGGTACACACATCAGCAGACGTCGCCTTACACCACAGACGCGTCTGGTCGCCGCCTTCGCGGCTCAGCATCACTGCTCTGAGCCCTGATCCGGCGTTATCGACACCGGCCGCCTGCGTCACAACCGCCCGGCCGGAGCTCCCGGCTCCAGTTACGGTCGTGCGCCGACAGCCGGCGGCAGCGCGGCCCATACAGCGGCGGACCGCGGCACGGCGGAGGGCGCGTCACACCTGCCGCCGACCGATGGCGCGGCGGCGATCAGCCGGGGACGACTGAGGCGGCGCGGGACCGGCCGCCCGGACACGCAGCGGTCGGACCTGGGTCCGGGCGGCGGGCTGGCCGGCCGGGCGGCGCGTTCCGGATGCCAGACCGGAGATCGGACAGCCGCGAATTGGTCGATGCCCCCAGTTCGACCGCCAGCTGGCGGCATCTGAGATTGGCGTCCACGGGCGTCCGCGGACGGTCAGGCGGTGCGCAGCCGCAGCTCGGTGTGATGAGTCGCACATGGGACGTTGCAAACAAAACATATCAGTTCTTGCGTGCTATGGCGCACTCAACTTGACCTCCAGGTACCGTGGATGTTCACTGAAATGTTCATTGTGTTTTCGTCTTCATCGATATGCCGGAATATTCAGCAGTACTACACGGTGAAGTTGTTATCTGTACGGGCGCATGCAACCAAAACGTGGTGGCAACATGGAAATAAATTTTCCTAACTGGTCGAAAGCTCCCCACAAGCATTGCCACGCGGCAAATGTGTAAACAAGGACAACGGCCTAGTGGCCGTGATAACCGGATATATGGAGTCGATTGAATAGCCGTGATCGCCGTGATAACGACTCTCAATGCAGCGGCTAGCAAGTCCAATCAGGCCTAAAGCCTAACCACTAAGTTCTACCACCTCACACTAAGCTAGCTGGAGCAGTGGAAGCAAGCCCAGCCAGCTTTTGCCGTCTCCACTCCGGGCCGCTACCACCTGCGGAGTTGGCCAGCGTACCATGTTTACAATGTCTGAAGACGACAGTAATCAGGGGGCGCCGTCGACGGCGGCGGCGGAAGCGCCGGCGTCGACGCCTCCGCCGCAGAGCCGGCCGCCGGACGGGGGCGCGGCCGCCACAGAGCGCGGCTTCGCCATGAACACGGCCGGCCGCTATCAGTCGCGCCGCTCCGTCGGCCACGCGTTCGAAGCCATCGCCAAACAGGACATGCAGGTGCGCACGGAGACGCGGCGCGGCAGCGTACAGCAGGGCGGCAAGGGCCGCGGCCGGCGCCGTTCCGTGGCCATCCCGGAGATTCACTTCGAGGTGACGACGCAGCCCGCCAGTGGCCCGCAAGCGGACGGGTCCGACCCCACCGCCAAGCTGAAGGACATGCTGCACACCAACAAGAAACGCCGCCAGTTTCTGGAGGCGATGCGCGACCAGGTGAAGGACGAGACCCACCAGGAGCTGCTGAAGGCGCATGGCGACATTCTGGCGCGCACCATCCCGCCGCAGATGACGCTCGAGCTGTACCGCGAGGTGGCCCCCATCTTGGACACCTGCGTGCGGGCGTACACGCGCAGTCTCGGCCGCAACCACCGCATGACGGCCGAGTGCATCGAGCGCCACAGCGACTGTGTCCAGCGGCTGGCGCAGCTGGAGCTGATGCATGCAACGCACGATGAACCCGAGCCGTAGCGGCGCTGGCGCTGGCGCTGGCGCTGGCACTGGCACTGGCACTGGCACTGGCGCTGGCACTGGCACTGGCGTCGCCGGCGGCCGGGCGCCCGGTGCCGCAACACTGCTCCACCCTGCGTAGCGGAGGGGCAGCCACCGAGTCCAAGCCCAGCCAGGCCCGTCAGACCTTCGGCGTTGATTGCCATTTGTTGCTATTATGTACCCACGAAACAGCCGTATGTTCCAATACACACGCATCACACATCAGATGCTTATGATTTCCGCCCCCGTGAATTGTTTATCTAGATTTCCCATAAAGCAATCCACGGAGAGCACGAGAAAGGAAAAACAAATTCAAAATCCATTCATGCAAGCATCATGTTTATGTGTTGTCTGAACGCGTTGTAAGGTGGTCCATGGTAAAACCATCAACGCTTTGGAGGCTCTCAATAAACATCCAGCTAATCCGCACCGTTTACATTGCCCAGCCCCGTAGCTTTGTAGCGGCGTAGTTAAGCTCGCCCCGTCTCCTGTTCAACGAAGTGTAGCTTGCCCTGTCTCCTGTTCTATGTGGTGTAGCTCGCCCCGTCTCCTGTTCAACGTGGTGTAGCTCGCCCAGTCTCCTGTTCAACGATGTGTAGTTCGCCCCGTCTCCTGTTCTATGCGGTGTAGCTCGCCCCATCTCCTGTTCGACGTGCTGTAGCTCGCCCCGTCTCCTACTCAACATGGTGTAGCTCGCCCCGTCTCCTGTTCGACGTGGTATAGCTCGCCCTGTCTACTGTTCAACGTGGTGTAGCTTGTCCCGTCTCCTGTTCAATGTGGTTCAACCCGCCTCGTCTCCTATTCACTGTGGCTCCTTGACCCCGGTAATCCAACGTAGTCCAACCCGTTACCCCAGTCCAGTGCGGTCCAAAACCGTCATACACGCCTAGCGCGATCCGACCCGTCATCCATGTCCAGCATAGTCCAACCACCCACCCACGTCCAGCGCGGTCCAACTATCCACACACGTCCATCGTAATCTAGCCCTTCTCCCGTTCTGTGTTGCACGCTGTTTAAATGTTTGTTTTGAGTTACTTAATAGCTGATGTTCAACCGATTTGCTCGCCGCCCGATGCAAACACCCAAGTGCTGCTATTCCTTTCACCGGATCATTTTGAGTTCTTTGTCCGACAGTACGGCTTCAGCATATTTCCATACGAAGCAGCCCAGTTGTCCCGCGTCATTCTGCCACAGAGCAGCTGCTGCTCTCTGGCCAGGTACCAGCCGACCATCGCGGCCACGGCCGGTCAAACAGCCGCTGATTCTCTGGAACCCGAACTAGGGGCCAGTGGGCGGCCAGTCGCCGACCGTCCGTCAGCGGGGCGCACGCGGCGCCCGGTGCCACCACGCAGCTGCGCTCACCTCGTCCAAGACGACCCAGTGTCCGGCCTTGAGTGCCTGCAGCAGCGGTCCGTCGCGCCAGGCGAACTGTCCGCCGCGGCCGCCCTCCACCGGCAGGTCGGCCCCGAACAGGTCAGACACGTCCTGCGGGGGGATATACCGTCACGTTTGAGAAGCAGACACAGCTGAAATGATACAGAACACATCCGACACATTCGCTGACGCAAAGGCGCGACCGAGGCGGTGTGGCCAGGCTCTCACGTCAGCGGTGGCGCGACCGAGGCGGTGTGGCCAGGTTCTCACGTCAGCGGTGGCGCGACCGAGGCGGTGTGGCCAGGTTCTCACGTCAGCGGTGGCGCGACCGTGGCGGTGTGGCCAGGTTCTCACGTCAGCGGTGGCGCGACCGAGGCGGTGTGGCCAGGTTCTCACGTCAGCGGTGGCGCGACCGTGGCGGTGTGGCCAGGTTCTCACGTCAGCGGTGGCGCGACGGAGGCGGTGTGACCAGGTTCCTCACGTCAGCGGTGGCGCGACCGAGGCGGTGTGGCCAGGTACTTACGTCAGCGGTGGACCTTCCGTCCGATAGGAGAGGTCACCAGTCGGCCGGTGATGCGCCTGCTGACATGGATCACCCGCGAGACACCACTTTCACAGCGGACGTACCGTCTGGTCGGAGAGGTTGATGCGGGTGAGTCGGTGTCCGGAGGCGCGCGCCAGCGCCGCCACCAGGCTCGTCTTGCCCACGCCGGGGCTGCCCTCCAGCAGCACCGGCTTGGTCAACTGCAGCGCGCGAAGCAGGCGACGCGCGTTCTCGGCCGGTGTAGACGCCGTCAGGCTGAACACGCCTTCCAGCGAGACGGCCGGCACATCCGAGCCTGCCGCAGCGCCGCCGGCGGCATCAGAGGCAGCTCAGGTCAGACCTCACAGGCGGAGGACCGAGAGGACGGCGGGGTCGCGGGCAGAAGACCCCGAGAGAGCAGGCACCGCGGCCGTGGCACAGCGCAGGCCAGCCGCCGCCAGCAGACGGGCCACGGCGCCACGCTGCTAGACGTCGGGTGGGGGAGAATAACGGGGCTACGCGACGACGCAATGATTCCATAGCGTAAGCGCAACATCTGCCGAACAACATCGCAAAACGCTCTTGAAAATTACGCAATGCCACACAACTAAAGCTTGGGGAAGGCGCACGATTTATTTGAGCCACGAGAAAATCACCGAGCACCAGCCACTTGAGCTGTAATTACGCGTCTGTAGACTGACGGCGCCGGACGCTGCCGGCTCACGGCGGCTGATCCACGAACCTTTCGCGATCACGAACGGGGCGAACCCGAACTGTGCGTCGCTGTTGACGAGCTGGCCGTCAAGCTCGAGCGCGACGCCAGCCTCGTCCGACCAGCGCGCCATCTGGTCCGTCAGGTGGCGCAGGCACTCGTCGCGCGCCGCCCGCAAGGAGGTGCTGCCGATGACACAGCGTCAGCCGCCCGTGCACACGGCCCGGCGTCCGGCGAGCCGGCCGGGCCAGATGTGCGACGGGGCGGCGAGGCCGACGGCAGGGGGGGGGGGGGGGGGGGCACCCACAAGAACGAACAGGAGCACGTACAGGAGCTTGAGGAGCGCGGCATATCCAAGTGGAGAATACTAAACTGTAAAGCGCGGTGACATGCACATCCAATGCAAGCAGCATGTCACTTCCCTGTCTCCCCGGCCTTTATAAACACACAGGGCACACAGACTAACAGCAGTCACGCCTGCGCCACGGGCTCCCAGCCACTGAGCAGCTGAGACGGCGCGTCGCCCGGCGCCCGCCCAAACACCGGCACAACCCAGAGACCCCCCCCCCCCCCCCTCCGGAAGCGACCTCAACAAGTCATCTGGAAATCTGAGACCGCAAAACCGCAATACTGGCCGGACAAGGCCTCTCCAGCAGGCCTCGGCCAGTGGTGACCAAGCCCAGGTCAGTCCGTCCGACGCGGGCGGAGGCCGCCGGCCCAGCCGAGCGGGGCGCAGGCGCGCCAGTGCCCGTCAGTCAACAGCCGCCGTCCGCCGGCGTTCCGCTCGGAGGCCGCCGGCCCAGCCGAGCGGGCGCAGGCGCGCCAGTGCCCGTCAGTCAACAGCCGCCGTCCGCCGGCCCAGCCGAGCGGGGCGCAGGCGCGCCAGTGCCCGTCAGTCAACAGCCGCCGTCCGCCGGCCCAGCCGGGCGGAGCGCAGGCGCGCCAGTGCCCGTCAGTCAACAGCCGCCGCCCGTCGGTGCTCCGCTCGGAGGCCGCCGGCTCAGCCGAGCCGGGTGCAGGCGCGCCAGTCCCGTCAGTCAACAGCCGCCGTCCGCCGGTGTTCTGCTCGGAGGCCGTCGGCTCAGCCGAGCCGGGCGCAGGCGCGCCAGTGCCCGTCAGTCAACAGCCGCCGCCCGTCGGCCCAGCCGAGCGGAGCGCAGGCGTGCCAGCGTGTGCCGGTCCTCTCACCTGGAGGAGGCCGGCTGGCCCGAGCCCAGGCCGTCCAGGAACACCAGGCACGCGCCGTGGATGTAGGCCTGCGGCACGGCCACACCAGAGTCGCCGGCCACGTTGATGAAGTTGACCCAGGCCAGGATGTCGCGGATGCTGACAGTGACCCTGAGCGACACGGCCAGGCGGTCAGTGCTGAGACTCTCGCCGAAGCGGTGCGAGGAGTCACCCATGCTGGGCGGGAATCCTGTGCACTCAGGGGAGCGGCGGCCCCGAGCCCGAGCACGTCGCGACGTTGGAAAGGTGAGAAGACCTTCAGACCTCTCAGTGACTTTTCAAATGTCAATAGCATTAAATCAGTCAATGTTTGGTGCCCTGAAATGGGCAAACATCTATAGGCTCCGTTCAAAGCTTCAATGTTGGGCCGATCGATGGAGTCGATTTCGTCTGCACACAGGCCCAGCGACGGATTTCCTCTGACATGACTTACTGAGAAACTGGAGGTTTTAAGCAGCCAAAACGGAAAATGAGCTCTGCTCTGGACGATATAGGGAACTACGTGATCAGCAAAACTAGAAACGTACAAAAACGACTGCCCGGCGCCTTTGACGCATCGGTGCATGCAAGCTTCGACGAGCCTAGATACGGTATATCTGACAGCTGCACCGTAATAAACCAAAGTAACAGCACACGTCGTCAACAGATCAGATGTGCGGCTGGTAGACGACAGCGTGTGCAAGATACATGTTACTCGAACTTAATCCACTAGCGTGTCGAAAAAACAATCCTAACGAAACCATCAGCTGTAGTCAGAATATCCCAACACGTGAGGAGTTCCCGATATCATACGCGCGTGTACGCCCACCAGCTGCCCCTCCCCGCTCCTCGTCCGCCCGCAGTCGGCCATAAGCTGACTTTTTGCCCGCGTCCGAGGCGGAGAACCACTGGACAAAGTCCATCATGATCTGGGCGAGCGAGGCGCTGCCGGCGCGCAGGTTGTGCGCGATGATGGCCTCCAGGTCGTTGCGGGAGCGCGACTGCGGACACCAGATCTCCGTGAACCGGTTCCGCAGCGCCGGCGACAGCTGAAACAGGCCAGCACGGGTGTCAGCTGACACCAGCAGCAGTGCAAGAGGACGGGGGTCAGGTGACGCTCGGAGCAGTGCAGGAGGACGGCGTCAGGTGACGCTCGGAGCAGTGCAGGAGGACGGCGTCAGGTGACGCTCGGAGCATTGCAGGAGGACGGGGGTCAGGTGACGCTCGGAGCAGTGCAGGAGGACGGGCGTCAGGTGACGCTCGGAGTGCGGGGACGGTCAGGTGACGCTCGGAGCAGTGCAGGAGGACGGGCGTCAGGTGACGCTCGGAACAGTGCAGGAGGACGGGCGTCAGGTGACGCTCGGAGCAGTGCAGGAGGACGGCGTCAGGTGACGCTCGGAGCAGTGCAGGAGGACGGCGTCAGGTGACGCTCGGAGCAGTGCAGGAGGACGGGGGTCAGGTGACGCTCGGAACAGTGCAGGAGGACGGGCGTCAGGTGACGCTCGGAGCAGTGCAGGAGGACGGCGTCAGGTGACGCTCGGAGCAGTGCAGGAGGACGGGTGTCAGGTGACGCTCGGAGCAGTGCAGGAGGACGGGGGTCAGGTGACGTTCGGAGCAGCGGATATGCCCGCAAAAAATTGACAGGTAGAATAGTTCCTACAGACACTTGACTTCTCGACCTCATTAGACCCCTGACGAGGTCGCATCTGGTTGCCTGACCCGTCACCAAGGACCAAGCGTCCGACCCAACAGGCGCCTTCGGACCCCGACGCCACCCACCTCCTTCTTGCCGTAGTCCCCGCCCGGGTTCATGGTGGCCACAAATCGGAACTCGCCGTCCGCCACCACCAGGTCGGAGCCGTCGCCGCCGGCCTTCTCCGCCAGCAGCAAGGTCCGCTCCGGCTCTGGAGGCGAGCGAAGGGGGAGAAGTCAGGTGGAGGCGGCGTGCCCGGACAGCACAGCCCGCCGCATAACTGGGCCTCGCTGGCAAAGGTAGGCGAAAGGTGACGGGAATCGTGGTGCTGAAGCAAAGGGCCGGGGTATGTCGACTTGGCGCCTTCAACAAATAAAACGCACATGATTCCATAGCCCGATTCGCGAAGCCATGAGCATTGATCGATGATCGCAGCTCTGTTATCCCGAAACAGCCGGCCGAATCCGCCAAACCGACGCAGTACGTGTGTCGTTCATCCTTACAACCGCGAAAGCCGCTCGCGGCACCAACCAAAGGCGCTCGCAGCACGAACCGGCAGCACTCTACTTCTGTGTATGAACCGCTCAGAACCCCACTTCACAGAGACTCTGTCGCCTCGCCGCCGGCCGGACCGGCCGCAGAGCCGGGGTCGGTCTCGCTCACCCAGCACGGAATTGAGCCGCTCCAGCACGCTGTCGTCCGCCAGCGAGATCTCGTCAGAGAGGAAGTAGTCGCCCCGCCGCATGGCCTCCACCAGCGGGCCGTTGACCCACTCGAAGAGCGCGCTCGCCTCCTCCTCCTCCTCCTCTCCCTGCCGACGAGGACCACGTCACGCCACGGCGCGTCATGTCACGTCGCGGAAACCTAACGATCACGCCACGTCACGCCACACCACGTCACGTCACGTCACGGAAACCTAACGATCGCGTCACGTCACGTCACGCCACGTCGCGGAAACCTAACGATCACGCCACGTCACGTCACGCCACGCCACGCCACGCCACGTCGCGGAAACCTAACGATCGCGTCACGTCACGTCACGCCACGCCACGTCGCGGAAACCTAACGATCACGCCACGCCACGTCACGTCGCGGAAGCCTAACGATCACGCCACGTCACGCCACACCACGCCACGGAAACCTAACGATCGCGTCACGTCACGTCACGCCACGCCACGTCGCGGAAACCTAACGATCGCGTCACGTCACGTCACGTCGCGGAAACCTAACGATCACGCCACGTCACGTCACGTCACGTCACGGAAACCTGACGCCATCTCGCGGGACTGCGGGCAGCAGGCGCGGACAGCGCGCCACTGACGCCACAGCGCACCCACACCCCGGAGGGCCCGGTCCGACGCGCGCGTGCCGCCTCCCCCGGCCGCCGGCTGACCTGTCTGTTGCGGACGGGCCGCAGCCCGCCCAGGAAGTCGGCGCCCTCGCTGTGCATGTGACAGTTGACGGTGTGGAGCTGGCGGCCGGCGTCGGCCGCCAGCAGCTGGCAGACGGTGGTCTTACCGCAGCCCGTGTCGCCCACCAGCAGAGCCGGCTCCCGGAACCGCAGCGCCTGGCCTGGTGACACCAGGTCACGCACGGGTCACACTCACACACATACATGGCTCGCATAAAGGCCACACGGTTTGCACGTGGGCCATGTGTCGGTTATAAATCAGTAATGCAAGGGAGCACAGTACGCATCATCCACAGGTTAATACTAGGGTCAACCATGGCTTGATTAGCAAAGCTACCGTGGGGGGCATCCACAGGTTTACACGAGACTCGACAAAGTCCAGCGACAAGACAAAACGTGACGGGCATTCCACCAAACCGGCGACAACGCAGCGGCCGGCGCAGGTATCGTCACGTGCACGACCCGTCTTGCGACATCGAAATGAAAAGCGTAGTCGTCCAATTCGCTATACATTGTCCATCTGCTCTGCACTGCAAACCAATCCTTGCCCGTTTACTAGGCGCTCAGAAGCAGCTGACCCAACATCCCATTGCTTCCGACAGACCAACGCCTCGGCGCGGTGTGGACAGGCCGGCGCCGGCGGTGTCCTGCCACCAGCCGCCGGTGAGCCTCGGCCAGGACGTACAGAGGAGAACGGCCAGCCGGCGAGTGCTGAAGGTCCACACCAGGTGCTGGAAGCCGAGCTCGCCGCTACGGCCCGACAGCAGCTGCTCCAGCACCGGTCGCGTCACCGGAGACGTCTTCTCGTGCACTGCGGAGGCGGTGCGGCGGCGCGTCAGGGCCGCCCTCCCGGCAGTGGCACACAGTCCAGTCACGCCGCAGCGGCCCCCAGCACGGCGGCCACACCACGGCGAGGCCGACACCGTTCGGATCAGACCGAGACACGCCTGTGGCAGCACTTTTTGACAGCAGCATGAGAGCACTTCACAAGGAAGATACCGTCAGCAACGGCAGGTGACGAGCAGCGGCTCACACACATACGACACACCGAGCAGAGGACGTGATCCCATCGGACGCTCCACACTCACGGGAGAAAAGGTTCTGCACGTCTACCGTCCGTTTGAAGTGTTTCTGCAGGGCGGCGGCAATGACGTCACACTCCTCCTCCTTCCGCACCCGGCCGGCCAGCACCAGATAGCCTGAGGGCGCGACCAGCTGGGTCAGCTGCCGACGCCACCGACAGCCAGCCGGCCACTGTATATGGCCACCAGCTGGCAGACTCTACATTCAGCTGGCACGAGCTACTGACTGGGACAGTACCCCTGCTCCTAGCAAGCTACGGCCGTCGCCATTTAGCTTCGGTCCACCGCCAGAACATGGACTTTATGATAAACAACGGAGTTCAGTGTGAATTGCGCTTCACACGACACGGTGTCCATTAGAACTCATCTTGAAAACAAACAATACCGGCCGGAGACGAGTAGCGGCGGCAGTCCCCGGACCCTCAGAAGTAGCGCCGGCGCGCCCCCAGCGGACCGCCAGCCGTACCTTCGTCCGCCACGTGCTGGTCCCAGTCGTAGAAGCGCGCCGCCTGCTGGCCGGCCAGCCGGTACCGCTCGGCCCATCGGAACAGGTCCCGGAGCGTGATGAAGCCCTGCTTGCCCTGGAAGACGCTGCTGCCGCGCCGCCGGGTCTGGCCGGGGAGCACGGGCGGAGGCGGTGAGGCCAAGCGGCAGTGTCAGGCGAACACACGGCTCGCTGCGAGTCATGGCACCAACACATGGCGATGTCTGACATGCCGTGCACTGCCACACCAGTAAAGCAAACATCGTGCTAGAGATCAACGCAGTGCGAGTACGTTTTCATAGTCAAACAACCTGGATGTGTGCGCGTCACCTGTTCAGTGCATAAATGCAACCCACCCGCCTGAGAATGATCCCAAAGGCTACACCTTACCAACTCTCCCTCCACACGCACACGATGCACCACCGGCCACCACAGAAAAACAGCATGGCTCCATCGACAGTGTCGCCCTAACTGAGAAGCTACACTCACCACGTACACCTCCTCCGGAGGCCGACGCCAGTCGACTACGGTGTCCCCTCCCCCTTATCCATATCACCGGTTCGGCCACGGCCAGGAGGCGTCCAGCGGCAGCTCACCTGCAGGTCCAGCAGCACGGCCACCATCTTGCGGCAGTAGCTGGCCGGCAAGTGGCAGCGCTCGTGCAGGATTATCTCCAGCTCGGGCGGCGGGATGTCGTCGAAGTGCAGCTCGATGAAGCGGTTGCGGAAGGCGCGGGACAGCATCTGCCGGGCGGGGAGCAGAGCGGGTCGGGGCCACGGTCCCCGTCTGAGCCCACATTTGACCCCTCTGCAGAGGGATCGGACAGGCTGCACGGTAGCAGGCAGCGGCCGGCGTCGATTCACAGCACCTCCCCGGAAACGTATCCAAATACAGTCACGTGCCCTTCCACCCGCATCAACGAGTGGCAATAGATCAACATCAATCACAACAGGCAATTTTCTGGGCCTCAAAAGACAGAGGTCCGCCAGCGGCCGACAGACCGATCCTCAGCCATTACCTGTTAAGAGTACATCTGCCCGGCTGGCATCACCTTGCGAACACGTCACCGGCACACCCTACCCGCGTGTCACCGCCCTCGGCTGCCCACGCGTCCTCGTCACAGGTCACGTGACTGCCCACCTTGCGTCCGCCGTACAGGCCGGGCGGGTTCTGCGTGGCGAACAGCACGAAGCGCGGGTGGGCGCGCACCACTGTCTGCGTCTCTGGGATGAAGAGCTCCCGGTTGTCGTCCAGCACGCGGTTCAGTGCCTCCAGCACGTCGGACGGCGCCAGGTTCAGCTCGTCCAGGATGATCCAGTGGCCGCGTCGCATCGCCTCCACTAGCGCCCCTGGCGGACGAGCGGGCAAATATCACGGCCCGGCCGCCGGTGGGAGCTGGCACGGTCACTACGGCAGCCAGACGTCCAGCCAGCGGTGAACAGTTGGCAAACACCGCCTCACTGTCGCGCCACTCGAGCACTTCCCACCAACTTCAATTCACCTAGAGACGCATTGATAATCGCCATCAACACTGCTCTCCAGCCTCACGGCCAACTCCCCTCCTCAGCCACCGTGCTGCAGACGGCACCGGTGTGACGTACCCTCCTGGAAGACGAGGCGGCCGTGAGCGTCCTGCGCCGTACGCGCCCACGTACTCCTGCAGATCGGTGTGCTCGTGGTTGTTGATGCGCACGCAGCGGTTGCCCGAGGCGGCGGCCAGGTAGCTGATGAGCGAGGTCTTGCCGACGGACGTCTCGCCCTGCAGCAGCACCGGCTGGCCGCCCAGCGAGACGGCGCGCGCCAGGTCACGCAGGTTCTGACGCACGGACGCCGTCAGCACGTACTGAAAAGGAGCACGCAGCAGCGGGTGAGCACACGGACCGGCGCGGAGTGGGGGCACGTGTCGTCACGTGCGGGCCAAAGCACGTGGTTAGTGCGTGCCATGACGTAACGAGCTGGAACAGAGCGAGAAGCATCGTAATGACGCCGCAGCGAAATACATCAGGCCTGCGTGTCATGGGAAAACACACGAACGGGTTACCAGAGGCTATGTTTAAAGCAATCTCAATCACTGCTAGATACACGAGGATCAAATGCCTCGCTTTGCACGATGGGGTCAGATGGAAAATACATATCTGATGTCCCCAAGATTCCAACATGTGAACGAACGAACCCACTCCAAGCATCGGCCACCAGCCAGGCTAAGACTATCATCACACCGAGACGCGGCCCGAGCTCGCAGGAATCCGAGGATATCGATGCAGTTACTCACGTTATCGGGAGGCTTGGGCTCCTCCTTGCCCTGACGCACCCAGTAGCCCTCGAACTGGACGTAGCCCTTGAGCTCGGGCGCCGGGATCGGCTGCTCGAGCAGGCCCTTCTTGCGGCCACCCAGCACCAGCGTCTCCACCAGACCTGGAAAGGTGGGTAAGAGTCGGATCGCCGGCAGCCCGCACCGGCTGACGCGGTGGACCTCTGAGAATTACCCACCAGCCCGCACCCACCGCTCAGCTCCACTCTCAGCTCTTAGTTGTCAGTTCTCAGCCCTCAGCCCTCAGCTCTCAGTTCTCAGCCCTCAGCCCTCAGCTCTCAGCTCTCAGCTCTCAGCCCTCAGCTCTCAGTTCTCAGTTCTCAGCTCTCAGCCCTCAGCTCTCAGTTCTCAGTTCTCAGCTCTCAGCCGCCAGCCCTCAGCTTTACATCGGCGGCGCTCGGCCCCAGCTCAGGCCGGCCGCAGTCCAGCAGGCAGACTCTCTCACCAGCGAGGCGGCAGCTCTGAGTTGATCGGCGCCATCGCCGGTGACGCGGCGCTGGGCGACACGGCAGCCTCGCGGCGCTGCCCACCGGGTCCTTAGCCACCACTAAACTGCCTGCTGCTGAGCTATCCACCAACACGAGCCACTGTTAGGTCAGCTGAACCCAAAGTGAAAGCCAGAGCCGTCAAGAGTTGCCTGTAGTAGGAGCCGACCCCGAGCCCTTCGACCCGTAGCCGACCGTCCTGCGCCCTGGGCCGCGTCGGTCGCCGGCCGCGCCGCCAGCCGCGAGCCGGCGTCGGGCGGCGCGCCACTCACCAGTGACTGTCGGGTGCGAGGCGCGGTCCAGCTGCGTGAGGAAGCTGAAGCAGAGCGCCTCGTACAGGGAGCGGCTGACTGCTCCGCAGGGGTTGCGCGCCGCCACGCGCAGGGCCCGGCACAGCGTGCGCAAGCTGCGGCACAGGCCGGCCCACGCCGTCACATCTCCAGCAGGCGTGCAGCGGCACGGCCGACACGCACACTCGGCTGGACAGAGCACGGCCCGACGCCGAGCCTCAACACGGCGCCTCGCTAGCGGTAGATCACAGACACGTCTACGAGGGTGAATGTCGGTATGGCCGCAGGCCGGGCCAACCGTAACCTGATCACAAATTGGACAGCAAGTAACGATAACGTCATGCAAGGCATTCGCCTTGCCCTAATGGAGCATGTTCGGGTCTGGGCTCAGTCCCACCCCGGCTCCCCCGTCCCAACATACCCCCGTTGCGCGGGTATGTTGGGGCTGACATATGACTGCATGAGATAAAGGTATTCCTCAGAGCATCCTCGCCCCACCCACCCACCCCCCCCCACCCCCCAAAAAGAACGTGATGTAGCGTCTTAACACGCGCTCGGGTGGGGGGTCAAATTGAACCCCCCGAAGTTTTTTCAGAATGGCTTCCGAACGGCGCGGCGTAGCCGCGCCAAGTTTTGCATACCTGTAGACAATTGAATAGCGGATCGTTTGGCATCAAAAATTTAGACGTACCTTGTAATGTCGCGGACCTATGGCAGGTCAAAGTTAGGCCATGGTTTCAGCGAAGGCAATTTCTAGGGAATCCCTCAATCTGATCCAACAACGGAGTGTTAGACGAAGCCATACACCTCTGAGATGCTTTCTTAGGCTCCACAAACATTGAATGAGCAAGTAACATTGACCTAAGGTCGGGAATGAAGGTCACACCGGGGTCACAACCAACCTGTTTTGTTACTCTAGGGCCTGCTGTATGGGATAATCTCTGGTGTTCATTTCGCGTTTATTGATAGCGGGAACCGCACTATACATCTTCCATGGACTTCTTAGAGGTCAGAGTAGGTCATTGACCTAAAATAACCCAGGTTGACATTTTGTTTTAGGAACGCACCGCCTAGCGTAATCTTTGTCACTTAGTCAAATGTGAAACTCAAAGCAATCTTGTATGATTTTGGTCACCTTGATCTTCAAAAGGTCAAACAAGGCCACTGACCTTGAATGAGAATGGCACCTTTTACTTAGAAATGGTTATCTAGGCTCTGGGGGCACTTTGGAGACCAACCTAGAATTTAACCTTGTTTGACCTTTTTGATCCCGACGGTTATTACCTATACGCACAGGTCAACACATCCTGTCGATTTGGTGCCCTAGCTCTCTTAGTTCCCGAGATCTCAGGGGGGTCAAATTGCCCCCCCCCCCCCTCCCGTCCGAGCGAAGGGTATCTAGCCGGCCACTCGGGCGCGTGTTAACGTTACGAACCGCATACGAGCATTCAACACCTGAAAACACATTCCATAAGTCTCAACTGGCAATGTCGGTGCACAGCAGGCTGGAAATCAGTTATGAGCTTCGGCACTTGGACTATATTCAAGTGCCGGTGCAACAACGGGAACCGCGGCTCACAAGTGACAGTCAGGAATGTGCACGCAGGAAGCATGAACTGAACGTGCAGCCCACCCAAAAGTACCCAACTACACACAAACTCCCCATCACCCTGCCAAGCAGAGCCCGTTACACAACCGCGCAACAGGACGGAACAGTAGAGGTCCTGCCACCGCGGGCGTCACCTGTCTGTAGTGGGGTCGGTGACTGGTCCGTCGGTCCCGTCCTCCCCAACCCCGGCCCTCACCTGTAGTGAGGCCGGTGACTGGTCCGTCGGTCCCCTCCTCCCCAACCCCGGCTCTCACCTGCAGTGGTGCCGGTGACTGGTCCGTCGGTCCCCTCCTCCCCAGCCCTGGCCCTCACCTGTAGTGAGGCCGGTGACCGGTGCCGTCCTGCAGGCGGTCGGTCGCCTCGCGGCGCACGCGCTGGTAGAAGGCCACCACACCGCCGAGCTGGGCGGCGCTGGCCGCCAGGTGGCGCAGGTAGTCGCCGGTGAGCACACGCAGGTCCGACTCCTCCTCCAGCTCGTCCACGAAAAACTCGGTAAACCTGCCGGCCGGCGCGGCTGGAGTGAGCGCTCCGGGACAGTGCGGCGGGCAGCACAGCCAAGCGGAGGTCAATGGTGAGCATCAGAGGGTACGGCGGTACACCGCAGCTCATCTGTTGCGCAGTCCGGCGGTACACCGCAGCATATCTGTTGCGCAGTCCGGCGGTTCACCGCAGCTCACCTGTTGTGCCGTCTGGCGGTACACCGCAGCTCACCTATTGCGCGGTCCGGCGGTTCACCGCAGCTCACTTGTTGTGCAGTCAGGCGGTACGCTACAGCTCACCCGTTGCGCAGTCCGGCGGTATGCTACAGCTCACCCGTTGCGCAGTCCGACGGCACGATATAGCTAGCCTGTTGCGCAGTCCGGCGGTACGCTACAGCTCACCCGTTACGCAGTCCGGCGGTACGCTATAGCTCACCCGCTGCGCAGTCCGGCGGCACGCTAGAGCTCACCCGTTGCGCAGTCCGGCGGTGCGCTTTAGGTCACCTGTTGCGCAGTCCAGCGGTGCGCAATAACTCACCTGTTGCGCAGTCCGGCCGGCAGGTCGCGCTTGCCCACGTCGGTGGCCGGGTTCATGCAGGCGAACAGGCGGAAGTGCGGGTGGCGGCCGACCGTCTGGACGTCGCCCCGCTCCAACAGCGTCAGCGGCCCGTCCGGCGATTCCAGCAGGCCCGACAGGCACTCCAGCGTCTCGGCCGACGCCAGGTTGATCTCGTCCAGCAGCACCCAGCAGCCTGGGGGCAGGCAGGGCGAGGACCTCAGCAGCGAGGACCTGAGAAGACCTCAGCAATGGACATGGGATGCGCAGGCGGCGGTACGGCCGCCACGCAGAACGCTGCATTCAAGAGTCAAAGATAGCCCACACCAGCTTCATTGCGGAACTAGACATCAGTGGGCTGTAAGTGGTAAGACTGCTATCGTAAAACATTGAACTCACTAGTGAAACGAAAGCTGAAAGTCATCGAGAAAGTAATTTCCCGGGGAAGTTATGCAAACGCATCACTGTATAGATACATCGCGTAGTCCTCAAAGCTTCACCCTCCAGCTAAAAAAGCCGAGCTTGGTTTCACGACACCACGAACCCTCTGGCTTTGACACAGCACCCCGCGCGAGACGTTCCAGCATCAACAACCACAGCCGCTGCGCGCGTGAGCAGCTGAGGAGTCCTACACCGTGCACGCCGCCCAGTCGGGCGCAACTACTCCGTACCTTCGCGGAGCGCCCTGACCAGCGTGCCCTCGATGAAGGCGAAGGCCAGCGCCAGCTCGCGCTGGCCGCGGTCGCGCAGGCGCTGCAGGCGCGCGCCCAGCGCCTGCCAGCCGGCCCAGAGCCGGTGTTCAGGCGGCAGGCCGCGGCGGCGCAACCGGGCCGGCGCCTGGCCGTGCACGTGCCTCATCAGAGCGGCCATGTCCTGCCAACGGCCGGCGGCGAACAGCGCCTGAGGGCCGGACGAGGGTCACCACGGGTCCGGGGCGGGCCCCAGCTGAGAGACGCAGTATCAGCGTGTGCCGTTCACCGCCGCCGAAGGCCCGCTGCACGGCGCCCCGACCGTCAGTCGGGCTGCCGGCTGCGCGACGGCCGCCTGGCATGACAGGAGGCGCTGACACATGACTGATGACGGCCGTGTATTAACGTGCATTGTGTATAACGTGCATCATGTGTGTAAGACGTGCACGTATTTTCAGATTTGGCCCTGCGTACTCAGCCTACCTGGGTCGGCGGGTGTATGGCACCATGCCTCCGTTTGTTATACGGCGAAGGCGAAACAAATTACCACACGAGCTCGATTTTACCTTGACAGATGACGTCCATTTGCCAAAGACACATGTTGACAACTTATGTCAACCCTCACCATGATATTTTTCAGGAACTTCTCGTTCGAAGTAACATCAAAGGTTTCTTTGAAGAGAGACTCAAAATCTTCACGCAGAGGCGCCATGACCTGTTTGATGTCCACCGGTTTGTATCTGTGGCAGAGAACGTTTTGCACGTCCAACTCAAATTCATCCTTGGCGCGAAGATCTGTTGAATGCAGCATGCTTTCTGAAAACGTCATAATATGACCGGCAAAGGCGAAAGACAGTTGGAATGCCCCAAACAAAAAGCTTCATTTGGGTTCACCAACTTCGCAGCGCGGAACCGCTCATCAGGCGAAACATCACCCCCTCCCGTCTCTCCGCCAGGAGGAGAGGTGAATATGTCTGCATTGGAACCAGTGGCCGGGTACTGCCTATATATCGCACAACTAAAGCATCAACATCAGAGACGCCGCGATCGCTGGAGGTCGAAGACAGCGGCCGAAACACAAGGCGTGAGCCCTTAACAAGCTCGTGCATAACGCCGAGCACCGCCACCTCCCATCAAACCTTTGGTAATCGTGTCTCGAAGCCGAGTAAAGAAGCCCCACTGCTCACGAAGACAGCCGCATGACCACCATCCTCGCGCACCGCCGACCGCGTCACGCGAGCGCTCTGCGCACGATAGCCTGATCGACTGGTCTGTGGGATGCTGACATCTCCTCTTCCCCCCCCCCCCCCCGAGGGGCCCAGAAATCTCCTCCCCCGTGCAGAGTCCGCTTACCCTCCCAGCAGGTCAGCGCTGTCGCTCTGCTGGTTCATGTTGATGACTACCAGCTTGTGGCCGGTCTTCTCGGCCAGGTACTGCACGCTCGACGTCTTGCCCACGCCCGTCTCGCCAACCAGCAGCACCGACTCCCGACAAGAGATGGCGACACCGACGCGCTCCAGCAGAACGCAAGACTGGCGCGTGAAGGAGAACTGCACACTGGACCTGCAGCAAACGGCGCAAACTAGCAGCAAACTAGCCTGCAGCAAACTAGCACTGACACCGAAGGTAAGTATGCACGGTGGCAACAGCACCTTGGGATTTCGTAGAGAAACGCAAAAAAAGCACCAGCAGCCATGAGTTATCTTCGAAGTGCATTGAAGATGTCTTCGTATCTGCCACGTCGTCACACGTAATATCATAAATTGGCCAAGGCGCAAAGCAATTCCGTCGACAAATAATTTGCACTCATAACGCGGCAACGCCCACCAAATGCATGTTTCTACGCGCGTTCTCTGCGTAAATTCACAACCGACCCCAGCGGCGAGCCTGACCGTCCTCGTGCCATGTGTGAGGTGCCGGCCGGGGCCGGTCGGTCGGCCGGCGCCGCCTCACCTCTGACTGGTGACCACGCTGGCGTGGCGCACGCCGAGCTGAGCGCGCCCGGCCGTCACGAGTTCCGGCGTCAGCACCACACTCGGCTTGTGACTGCAGACGCTGAACTCCACCTGGGCGCTCAGCAGGTTGAGGCGCGCACCGATCTCCTGGGCCAGCGGCAGTCGCAGCTCTGCCGGGAGTAAAGGGGGGGGGGGGGAACTGAGGCCCGGCTCCGGTCACCAGGTCACCGGCCACCGGTCACGGACCGCGGCAGGAGAGGGGCGCCGACCGGTGAACATCTCAGCACAAGGCACGGCCGGTTACGCAAGCAGGACTGCCGCTAGAACGGCACAACACCCGCACCCACACAAACTGTTTGATCCCGGTGGCGTCATGCCCCCCTCCGATCTCGCCCCGCCCCGCCCGGGCCGCGAGTGAGCGGCGGCATACCTCGTCTGGCCACGGCGGCGCAGAAGATGTCGGCTGCGTCCTGGAACATGATGCTGGCGCAGCGGGCCGACGTGACGTCGAACGTGTCGCCGATGCGCTGACACCACTTCATCAGGTCTCTGTCGGGGTCGCGGCGTCACGAGCGTTACGACATGCGGCCAGGACCAGGCCTGGTCTGGTCTGGTCTGGTCTGGTCTGGTCTGGTCAGGGTTTGGGTGGGTCAGAGCTGTACCATTTACAACAGCTATCTACTGGGCGCCGATATTGTAGTGGTTAAGCTGCACGTCGGGGAAACCAGAGGTACGCGGTTCGATTCCCGGCGGTGCCCGCCCATCCCGTCGGGGTGAGACACAGCCGACGCTATACAGCCCTAGCAGCTGTGCACGTGGTCAAGTCCCAATGACGACAACGGTCATTCACTCCCCATAAATCAAGGATGTCGATGGTGGCAAAGCCACTGTCCCCTGACCTGTCCATCAGCGCCGGAACACTGACCTGGTGGAGACCATGCGGGCCTCCTTCATCTGCAGCCGGGCTGTCTCTGGGCACCGCTCCGTGCCCGTGACGTCACCGGAGTCCCGTGCTGACGTCATCACATCGTACACTTCCAGCATGCGATCAGCGACCGTGGCAAGCTTCGGCCACTGCATGACAGCGGACAAACGGGTCAGATCAGATCAGGTCAGGTCAGGTCAGGTCAGGTCAGGTCAGGTCAGGTCACATGGGTCACATCAAGCTTACCAGGTAAGATCGCGTCAAGCACCTCCGGTTGAACAGGTCACGTGATGCTCGTTAGATCGGACAGGGTAGATCGGGTTAGCCAAGGCTCGTCAGGTCACAAGGGTCATGTCAGAAACATTAGGTCGTGCATGTCAGATCAAGTACATCATCGAGTGCGGTCGGGTAGGCTAAGACGAATCTGCTTGGTTGAGTCGGCAAGAACAGGTCATGTAGGTTGCATCAAATCGTGTCAGACCAGGCAGGATCATGCAATCGTCAGGAAAATCAGGTAGGTGAGGCAATTCAGGTCAGGGCGCCTGGTCTGTTGGATCAGATCCAGTATTAAGGTCAAGTAGTCAAGAGGCAAACATCAGTTCAGTTAACACCACGTGGGCCAGCCCAGGTGGGTCAGGCTAGAAAGTTCAGGTAGGTCAGGTTAGGTGGGTCAGGTAGGTCAAGTCAGGTAGATCATGCACAGTAGGTCAGATCAGATCAGGTCAGGCAGGTAGACCTCGTCAGGCAGTTCCAGCCAGGCGGATAAGGTAGTGTTGAATCACGTTCCCAGGATGGCCAGGTTACGTAGGTCGGCGCGGCTCTCTCATAGCCTAAGACAGCTTACCCTCGCGCACTACACGAACATAGCTTATCGCTCACTGGCATTGTAACATGAGTCCAGACCATTACCACCATTGGCACATGTTTCCTCGGGTTTGAGCGCCAGCTGACGAGCCCGGAGTGGACGGAGGGTCCCCGGCCGGCCACCGGGCCGCCGGCGCGGCGAGTTATCCCAGGACGCCCCACCTTGTGCACGATGACCTGTTTGAGCTGTTCGATCGGCAGCGGCTGGACGGCAATCCTCTGCCACAGCTTGTCCAGCAGACTCGAGTGCGACACCTGCTGCTTGTGCATCCCGCCAGAGCCGGGCAGCAGTCTGGCGGGGCGGACGGCGCCCGGTCAGCGCCGGATGCTCGGCCCGTCCCAGCGGCGGCTCTCACAGCCGAGTCAGGGCACAGATCTTTGACCGCACTCTCCGTCTGGTTTCAAAATGTCGCAGGTTCGGTGAGGTGGTGGCCGTCCCACACCCAGTCACCCATCACGTCACCACTCCTTCTGCTCAGCTTCAGATGCGGTACAGAGCACAAGGGCTTTGGCAGCAGAAAGCGTGGCCAGGGACCCCTACCACCGGTCCGCCACAGCATCGCTCCAGTAACTTCATGTGCAGCACCCCATCGAAGCAAAGTGCACATAATTTCTACATTTTAACAAGATGGCCAACTAACAAAAAAGTCGTGCACGTTCCCAGTGACCCAAGGTCCAGTCACTCAATTAACTGAATACAGAGTCGTCAGAGGGTTTCGATGCCGGGCAGCTGGCGACCACAGGTCCGGGACATAACGCCACAGACGACTGTGGTCCAAACGCTATGAACAACCATCGGTAGACGGGTTCAGAGTCACGACATTCGCAGACGAGCGCGTGCCGGCACAGGCGGCCAGGCGCGGAGCACCGGGCACCGGGCACCGGGCGCCGGGCGCCGGGCGCTTGGCCTGAGCCGTACCTCTGAGTGGCGAACAGCTGGAAGCCAGGCGCGGCGCGCACCACGTCCCCATGGCCGGGCACGGTCAGCGCGCGCGACTCGAGCAGCGGCACCAGCAGCGACACCACGTCCATCGGCGCGTGGTCCACGTCCTCCAGGAGCAGCCAGTGGCCCTCCGTCACGGCCTGTCGGCAGCCGGGGCAGCGGCGCTGCACTCAGACTGCTGGCGATCGACGCGAGTGAAGGAGCGCTGCAGCGCCGACAGCGCCGCCTGGTCAGCCCCGTCCGAAGCTAGAGTGACGTGTGCACTGCACAGTGTAAAGCTAGTTTCAAAGCTCCGTCATAACTGTAACGCCACGACCAGCTCAGTCCGCAACCAAACCCACTCCCCTGCCCAATTTGGCGAATGAAAGGTGCGACCCAACCGGGCACGCTTCCCTACAGAATCTCATGGCAAACCCCAAATAACAAGCAGACCCAAGCATGATCATGGTGCACCAGCCATGCTCTGATGATCAAGCCTAACGCCACTACGTGATCATGTCATCACACGCCTCAGTCGTGGCCAGCCGACCCCGGCAGCGGCGGCGGGAGACGCACCTGAGTCAGACAGCCAGGCTGCCAGACAAATTCTCCGGGCACCTCCGTGCAGCGGTACGTGCCCAGCAGCAGCTTGCTGTCCGTCTGGTCGCCTAGCTGAACGGTGACGAGGCGCGGCCAGCCCACGTGGCCGGTGACAGACGCCAGCTGGTGCACCAGCGAGGTTTTCCCGGAGCCGACGGGGCCCTGCAGAAGGGCCGGCCGGCCGGCCGCTGCCGCCAGCGCCAGCGCGCGCAGCGCCGAGCGTGTCTCGGCCACGCGCACCAGCGGGCCGGGGCACTGCCGGGGTACGCGGGTCAGAGAAGTGGATCGCACGTGTGCTTGGCGCCTGAGTCACTGCGTCAGGTGACGCCACTTTAAAGAAATGTGGCACGCCATACGGTGCAGGTCACATTAAGAAGATTGAGATAGACAGGGCGCGAGGCCACGGGCTGGGACAAGCGTGGTGCAACTCGCGGTCTGAACCAAGCTCAACAGAAAACACCGTTATAGCATGCGGCAGCCTGCCTGTTACATGGATGCCAGTGGACTATCAGTCTTTTGAGCCGTTCTCTCAACATCTCGTTTCACTATGCTCGACCTGCGTATCTCGAACCCGATAGCAGGCCTTGTATGTCGACCTCGTCATACGTCAGCCTTACCGCGGCCTGGGTATCGACGACGGGCAGGGTGATGCCCTCCACGCATACTAGCGGTCCCGAGATGTCCTCGGAGGTGAGCAGGGCGCGCGAGCGGTGGCCACCGACATCTGAAGCACCACAGAGGCGCGCTGGCGGATATCACACACCCTACCCGGCCAGAGCGGCCAAACCAGACCTCGGACCTGGCGCAGGTCGACCAGAATGAATGCTCAACACTTTCCTAACCGTCGCAATGTTTCCAAGGTCAGACATATCGTCATCACGTGCTACCAGGCAGTGCTATCCGAAGACAAGGGAGCTGTGCGAGAACACACCGGGGCACAACCGCATGCAGATTAACAGCCGCACATCTAAGCAATCGAGTCGTGCTCGTGGCACGCCTGGCCCGGTCTCCGACACCAGGTCTCCGCCTGCTCCGTCCGCGACGACGTACCGCGACCCGGGCGGACGTCCGGCGGCCCCGCCATCGGCGTGGGACTGAGGTGGCGCGCTGCCAGTGCCAGCTCGGCGCCGCCGTCCAGGCCGGCCGCCGCCGTCAGCGCCGCCGTCTGCGCCGCACCCATGCCCGACACGAGCGCTGCGAGGCGCGCCGCCAGCCTGCCGGACACGGACGTCACGTGAGGTCGACGCGCACACCGTGCGCCCATGCACACGGCGCTGCACATCAAGAGCGACCCTGCTGTTGATGTAAGCTCATCAACACAGGCTGACGCTTACCACGACGCGAGGGTAGCCATCTACTGAAAACGATATTTCATGTCGGTGTGTGGCCACTGGCATTGTGCATGGGTGTTAACAACATGCTGCTGCAACACATTTTCCTGATGTCACTCCAGAAATACTGCCACAACTGTTAGCACAAAACATTGCCATGAAGGACACCATAAATGTGAACAGTGGATGCTACTGGCACCGCCGGCGGCGTCGGACCCACCATCGCGTCTCGGCGTCACTGTCGCGCATCAGTCGGAAGAAGCCGGACCAGTCCCAGAGGTGGCGGGCCGTTTCTGGGAAGCGCAGCACTAGAGGCAGCAGCACAGCCAGCAGGCGGCGTGTGTAGCCCGACTCCAGCCGGCGTCGCTTCCGCCGGCTGGGCGCGCTGCTGCCGCTGTCGTCGCCACTGTCACCGCCGCCGCCACCGACCAGCGGCAGCCACGGCGGCTCTGAGCACTGGCTCAGCAGCGCCTCCACACACCTGGAGCAGCCAGTCAGGGGTCACTGAAAGGATCTGCAGCTGGTGGGAGCAGCTCACATGGGTCCAACAGTCAGATACACAATGGCCATCATACCCTGAAAACCATCCAGTGATAGGATCAGCATTTTGGGCTACAAAAATGAATTGCATGATCACAACCATACAAAAAGCTGCCCATATTAAGTATGAGCAGCTTTTGAAAAAAAAATATAGAGCAATGTCACCCACCCTGACAGCTGAGGCAGATACTTGACTGTGTCAGCCAGTGCAGACAGGAACATTTCAGTGCTGTCTTGGTCACTCAAGCCAGCCAGTAGTGCAGGTACTACTCCAGGGACACCCAGCAGCACCTCACGGCGGCTTAACTCATCTTCCATCAGCAGCAGCAGCTGATGCCAGACATCAGCAGCATTTGCCTAACAGCAAGCAAGGAAGAGGTGTGTGATGCTTCATCTTGCTGGAAAAACTTGGCCATGCAATGCTTTTGTAATATCCACTCACCTCATGTGGCGGGCTGCAGCTACCTTGTGTGTAAGAGCTCTTTTGACTTGAACTGAATGCCATTCTGACTCCCTAATCATACAATGTACACAGCACATACAGCTAGAACAATCATTGGTCAAGCATTGCAATATTTGTGTCCCATAAAAGTGGTACAGGGCAGTTTTAAGCAGGCTTACTAATACTGCTTATACCAAAGGCTTACCTTCTTGCCTTCCAGCAGTGGCTTGATCTTTTTCTTTGCATTATCAGGAAGTTTGTCGAGCATAAGCTGCAGCTGCTCTGCATATAGTATGATGGTTGTGTCCTCACAAAAACTTGGAATCCTATCATCTACCTCCATATTTGTGATGTTTAGAGAGTCTAATTCTGGTTGATTTTTGCCTGGACCTGGAATAGGTGTAAAATTTATACAAACATTTCACTGATACCTAACCAAAGGGCTCACAACATTCTCTGGATGTTAATGTGTTTGTGCATAACTTGTGTTTGAAAACCTGAACTGCTTGTTACATCAGTCATTATTTATCAAAAACACTGCTTCCCTTCACTCCATGCATTACACAATCCGTAGAAAACCTCTTTAAGACTATCCTCTTCCTTCGATTGTGGAATTAATCAAGTACACTCAGTTTGGAATTTCCATGTCCAGATGCAAAGCATCTTACTAGTTTCAACCCCTCCACGAAGACAGCCTCCAGTGAAAGCATGTCACAAGTAGCTTTTTGCATTCCACAATCCATCCCAAACCCCTTTGTAACCTGAGACAGGAATCACAGCTCCTCCCCTAGCCCAACTTAATCATCCGTGCAGCCCTCGACGAACCACACGTGCTTTCCGCGTGAGCCAGGCAGTGAACCAAGTGCGCCACAGTTGAATCCTCAGCATAACATTTCCTTAAAGGAAGGTGTTACTAAATATGCATTTGGTGAGATCGACGGTTTTTAACATCAGTGATGGAGGAGAACTTGGTTGCAAAACGACACTTCTGAGCACAAACTATTTTGAATCACTCAAATTAAATGGATGGGTCTTGAAAGTGATCAATAGTAGCGTGAACACTCCTGGAATATATTTAACAGCTTTAAACCTCCTGCCCTGGTGCCTTGGCCTAATCTTTTATTCACTCACGCTCTGCTACCCACTGACCATGGGCGGATCCAGAGAGGGGGACGGAGCCATGACCACCTTGGGCCCCAAAGGGCCCCATAGGCTCCGTAAGGGTCTCATAGTCGGCCGAGCAGGGGCAGTACGTAACAAAATTCGACATCTTTCGATTTTCAGGCGGCCAAGAACAGTTGCGAAGGAAATGGAAGGGCCCAAAAGAAGACTAAAAGAATATTTAAGAATTTAAAAAAAGTTTATTGGGAACTCTAAGCCTCATTATGCCGTCCAGGGACCATATACTGTTTCAGAAGAACCTATATGCTCGCTTGCAGAGTCATTGCGATCGTTAAGATGTCTTCCATGTTCACCTTGCTTTCTTTGCATTTGCTCGGAGGGCCCTGCTCTGCTGTTGGGCCCTTCCTGCTGGCGTGCCGGGGCGGCCTTGTCAATCAGGGGCATTCCACTGATTCTTTCCATTGGCCAGACAGGCTCTGTGGACTATAGTATATGGCCGAGTGCCATGTGTTAGCCTGCCGAGGTATTTTCGGCTGTACGCGACCCTTAACATTGGTCTCGGTTGACCTACCGGCACGCTTGCGATATGTTCATGGTCCCTCTGCATTGGTCTAGGGCCCTTCCTTTTCTGTCACTTGCTTAGGGCCCTACGCTCTTGCGAGGCGCCCAGCTGTTTATCTGCTCGGGCACACTGGATTGTTTGGGGACGTGAACATTGGGCATTTTAATGTAGGGCCCTACGCTCGTGTCGGGGGCCTATCTGATGGCTTGCTCGGATACAATCGATCATTCAGGGGCCCTCTACATTGGGTCTTGGGCTTACACACTGGGTTTTGAGTACTTCCTATTTGGATGGAGTGTCCTACGCACTTGTCGGGAGCCCATCCGTTTGCCTCCTCGGCCACGCTGGAGTGTTCGGGGGCCCTGTATATTGGGTCTGGGTATTCGAATCTAGAGCCCTACACTCCTGTCGGGAGTCATCCGCTAATCTGCTCGGGTGCTCACCATCCTTCGGGAGCCCTTAGGAAGGGAGTTTTGTGTGTTTTTTTATTGAAATGGAGGGTTATGTGCTCCTGTCGGGCCTCTTCTCATAACCTGCTTGAGCACATTCCATCGTTTAGGGGTCGCTCACCTTAGATCTTGAGTGATTCCTACTTGAATGGAGGGTTCTGCGCTCGTGTTGGAACCCTATCTGTTGACCTGCTCGGGCACACTCGATCACTCGGGTGCCCTCTGCATTGGGTCTTGGGTACTTTCTATTCGAATAGAGGGTCCAGCGTTCTTGGCGAGGGGCCCTATATATTAGCCTGCTGGCACACACTCGATCATTTCGGGGCCCTCCATACTGTGCGCCGGGTACTTATTATTCGAATGGATGGCTCAATGTTCTTGGCGGGCCCCATCTATTAAGCTGTCCGGGCTGGTGGCAGATAAGGAGGGGGAGGGGAGGGGGGAGGGGGAGAGCCCGGGACTATGCCTCCATGCACCATACCATAAGGAATTATAGGCTCCGAATGGGCCCATAATTAGCCGAACGGACGCAGTTTTCTGACAAAACAAGAACATAACAAAATTGGACGTCTTTGGGCTTACATACGGCCAAGAACGGTTGCTACCAAGAAAAGAGTTCATAAGCAGACAAAGTCACCTCTTCGCTGATTGAGAAGGCGCTGTTTGGGGGAAATTTGGGGCCCATCACGCTGGCGAGAGGTTTTACGCTGTTGCCCGGGCTTTATACGTCCACTTGCCTGGTCAGCTTGATCGCTAAGGAGCTTTCCACGTCGTCCTTGATCTCTACGTTTTCTCGAAGGGCCGACGCTGCTGTTAGGTCGCTATCTGCTTCCGTGCCTGGGCATTCTCGATTGATCAGAATTTCCTCCACAGATTCTTCTCATTCGCTCGAAAGGCTCCATGCGTGTTTTTTTTTCGGGGCCCCGTATGCCAGGGTACGCTCAGTTGCTCAGGTGGCCTTCATATTTGTCTCGGGTTATTTCCGCTTACTCGGAGGGTCTTGTCAGCGTGGGTCTCTCCCGGAGACCCACCCTGTTTAACACTTATGAGACCCGTACTTTTTCGGGGCAAGGGCCCCCTGAGTAGAACACGTGGGCACATTGTTGTTCCCGGTCAAGGGCTGAAGGACAACGTCGTCTCACCGCGGGATGCCTTCCAGCTGTCACTCTGGCGATACGGGGGCGAGATACCCTGATTTATCTGTGAAGAGAAACCTTCATCTGGTCATCAAGAAGAAACGTTTTTGCGACGGCAGTGTTGGGCAGGGAAAACGGTGGGGGGGGGTGGGGGGGGTGGCTTGAAGGGCAGGGTACCGAGCTGTGTACGCTGTTAGAGGCCAGCAGGAGTGACGTGCTGCGTGGCTCAAATAGATAGCATTCCGCTAACTGCTTCTTACATAATCCGAAGACTCTTAGAGATGTACAGCATTCCTGTTGGTTCGCTCCCTGACGCGGAAGGCGTTCTGACTCGCGCAGTTGGCCCCGGACCGACGCAGGACTCTGCTTTACAAAACTGTGCCAAATTCATCTGAATTTAAATGCGGGGTATGCTGGTGTGGAAATGCGCACAAGGCGAATATTGAAAGAACGTGATTTTGCTGTATTTATTTGGGAATTGAGGTCGGGTCTCTCGATGTATCGCCTTGTTATTGTTTCCATGGACTTGGTCGGTGCCACGCTACCTGACGAGAAACCCGAGGTGAAAGGGAAGTTGGGAGTGAGCGTTTTGCGGGGGACTTTTGAGAGAAGGGAAAGCAGTGATGAAGGTAGGGGTTGTAACATTGAAAAATACAGGTTGAAACGAAGAGTCTAGTTTTTCAACCTTAAGCTATTTCGGTATTTTTGGAAGGAAGTAAAAGTGGGCAGACGAAAACAAAACAAGACAAGACAGTGCAACGTCAAGCTCAAGCGCGGCAAGAGTGTGGACCTAGATCTTCGTCTCGTGCCGGGGTTTGACGGCACGACCCAGCCAGCCTCTGAATGGCTGGAGAGGGGCTCGCACCTCGGCCCTCGCACACTAGCTCCTAGTGTGCGAGCTCTGAGGTGTGGCAGGTCTCTATCCTCTGCGGCTGACGGGATCGGGAGGAACCTTCGCGGTTTACCAGCAGCTAACAACGGAACAGAAAAGAAGTTATGACGAAAGCAAGATGGCACTGACATCTTCCTTCGCGCTGGATAGATGGCGGGCTTATGAATATTCCGTCGACCGTAAGTTACAGGATGGTGAGGCGGTCGATGTCTACATAGCTGACCTGCGTCGTACACCAAGCTTGTTTGGTGGTATGTCAGATGAGGCCCTGGGGTGCGCTTTTGAGACGGGTGTTCCGAAAGTCGCACGGTGCATGCCGCGGGAGCGAGCTCATAAAGAGTATTGTCATTCACCCCACTTTTGAGCCGGGCCTGCACGCTGTTGGTGAACGAAGGTGTTGTTGGCTGTTGGTGAGCGAGGCTGCAGCCACTTCTGCTGCTGGCGGCGGTTAGTCCGGACGTAGCACTGTCTCAGGCGCCAGCGTTGTCTGTTAGGCGTGCGGGTGAGCTAACCAGCTGGTCAGGGACTGCATGCCGGAGCGAGCGGGGTCTCTGTGGAGCGCGGAACTTGCGATGCTTCCGATACAATCCGCGCGGGCACATGGCATCGGCATGTCCGGAAAACGGAAACGGGGAGGCGAATTTAGCATCAGTCTCCTTTCCAGGTCTTCAGTGACTGGGGCGTTTCCAGTCGTTCAGTTGATGGTGGGCGGCGTGCCTCGCAAGGCGTTGGTGGACACAGGGTGCACACAAAGTTTGCCAGGGATGGAATAAACGCAGGGTAAGTGTGACCGCTGTCAGCGGGGAACGGCATTGATGCGAGGGCATCGAGGTGGTGGATGTAGAACTGCAGTCAAGTCAGACTGTGGCTGTGAATGTTTTGGTTGAAGCCCAGACACCACTTGGTTTTTCATTCATTCTGGGGATGAACGGAGTTAATGCTATGCGAGGCCTGTGACCTGTTATGAATGTACTGACGTTCATTTTGGCGTCGAATTTACGCAGCAGCCTGATCAGGTATCTATGACGTGCACGACGGCAATCAGCTCCGATGAACATGCTTTCACTGTGACGTGCGGCGTGGTGGTTAAGAAGCGGCCGGCTCAGTGGAACTGATGCAGGGGAGAGGAGTCGGAAAAGCTGTTCAGCACGATCGAAGGGCATCGAATTCTGCCGGCAGCGCGCTAGGAGCATTACCGAGCTCTCTCGAAGCGGGTAGATGAGGTTGCTCGTCCATTACGAAGAACGGCTGCACGGAAAAGGGAGAGGAACGATCCTCATGGCCGTGATACAAGAGGACAAACGTAAAGTACGGCCAGCATTGGACTTCAGAGAAGTGGACGCCCACCTACACCCGCACACAGCTGATGCGAACCTTTTTACAGAGATCAAAGAGTGGCGCCGGTGCGGAAGAGGTGTGGCCCTACTAGATATTCGTGACCATTACCTACAGATCAGCGTATATCAATCGCCATGGGCCCACCAAACTGCTTTTTGGCAGAGCCAAAGGTGATGTTTGATCAGATTCGGTTTCGGCATGACCAGTGCAGCAGTGGCATGAAGAGGGTGTTAAGCATGGCGCTTAACTGGGATGAAGCGATAGATGCCGCCGCCAGTTCTTACGTAGACGACATCCTGATGAGGGAGACGTCGCTAGTGCAGCTAAGGTGAAGGCTCACCTGGAGCAGCATGGGCTCGTGTGTAGACCTCTTGAGCGCATAGAGGACGGAGCTCACGTGCTGAGGCTTAGAGTCTGGGGGAGCAGCACGAGCTGTCCTGGCGGTGGACGAAATGCGACGTTGAGCTGCCGTCAAAGGTGATGAGGCGAGCCATCTTCTCCATCTGTGGTCGACTGACCAGTCACTTCCCTGTTTGTGGCTGGCTTTGCGTGGCGGCATCTTATTTAAAGAGACGTGCCAGCATGGTGACGACCAGCTGGCACGATGGGAGAGCTGATCCTAAGCTGCACGGCATGGTGTTAGAGACTCTCCAGCGTGTCAGAGCATCAGGTCCCGCTCGAGGGAGATGAGACGTGGCCGGCACTGACCCTGCCACGTGGGCTGATGCAAGCTTTCTCGCCCTGGGAGCCGTCCTTGAAGCTGAAGGAGACGTTGTTGAGGATGCTTGCCGGCTCCGTAAAAACATGGACCCCTTTTCGATCTCGCTGACCTAGATGTTGTGGTCCTGGGCATCAATCTCGCAGTGACGTGGAAAATGAAGCGTTTCACTTTCGTGACCACTCGAGGGCGGTGTATCACTGGCTCGTCGACGCCCCGTCTGGGAAGATGAGCTTGAAGCCGAAAGCAGCGAGTTGCTCATCCGGAGACCCTTGGAAACGATTACGAACATCGTCGCTGAGTACGACCTTGATCTCAAGGTGAAGAGTGTTCCCTCAGCAGAGAACAGAGCCGATGTCTTGATATTTAATATCATTGAAACAATACAGGCTAAAACGAAGAGCCCATCTTTTTCTACCACAAACAAGATCTTTGTACCATCTCAGAAATAGGTGCAGAAACGTTTCAAAAAGTGGGGAGGGAGCCAAGCTCAGGGCGTACTTTAAGAACTTTTTTCAGGAAAGCAAGCCCGATAACCGCGTGGGAGGGGGGGGGGGGGGTGTAGAGATGGAGGTTGTTATGGCCCCTTGTTCAAATGTCATGGCTGCTATGTTCGATATACACCTGGAGCTGTTTCTCGCTGGTGCGCAATCTTGCCTTTTCGACTCATCTATGTCATTCGGCAAGTAATACCATCCCGCTTCACAAGAATATTCGTCCATTTCAACGTTGTCTTTCCTGGGGACGCGACATTCCACCAGCGGGTAAGCGTTTCGGGTCATTAAGGAGATATCTACCTTCGCAGGGCGGATGGCAAATACGGCCTGGACGTAGCCTGGTGACGATTTGGAATGTGAATGGATGGCCCACGGTACGACAGATTTTTCATGCGTCTTTATCTCGCTGGCTGCTTTTCAAGAGATAAGGATTGTAACATTTTAGGCGGAAACGAATTCGGATGCTTGGAGCTGCCAAAAACAATGTGACAAAGCCATAAAACTGGAGATACTGCTTTAACAGCCAGGCCACTGAATGAGGGCCCTTCTGTCTTCCATATCTTCCTTATCTGAGCCCTGCTCCCATACTCCGTGTGGGCGACCACTGTTCAGGCTCGGCTGTCTCCCTATGACTGCTTGCAAATTGACGGTACGGCTGCTTCGTTGCATATTTCCGGATCAGCATTGCTACTACCTGGTGTGTAAATTATGTGGACACCTGCAACAGTATCTTTTCCAAATTATTTTCCGTCACACCACACCACCCCAGTAAAAAATATCCGGGAAGCTGCCTGCGTTAGGTATAAATTGGCCCAACGAGCATTCAATTGCTCATCATTCGACGCAGACGACTTGATCTGTTTGCGTATGTAGGCAGGGGCGTAGCCAGAGACTTGCTAAGGGGGAGCAAAGGGTTGACAAAAGCCCTTCTTATGTTGACCCTCCCAAAACCCCCGGATATAGCTAACTCAGTTTTGGTCATTCGCCCGGTAGGCAGACCCCCGAGAGCAGCCTCTGTGAACTCGTTCGGCGTGTTCTGGAGTTCATGGTCGCGTTGCGGCTTGACGCACCGCTGGTCAATACCAATGTCCGTTCTATTCCAGCTTATATTACTTAGTCGCTCGTGCTCAGCACGACATCCCTCGTCAGCTTATATTTGAGACATTCGATGTTTCGTGTTAATGGTCTCGTAGAGACAGCACAGCACTGTTTTAAAACTCTGGTTTGTTTAAAAACGACATCGAGAGTCAAGGCCGTTTTCCGTCAAGACCGTAGTTTTGCCAAATGTGTGTGTGTGTGGGGGGGGGGGAAGGGGGGTTGAGCCACGAAAAATGGCACAATCTACCCCAAAAGTAACCAAATAAAGCTTTTCCTCGGATTTGCCCCATTTTCTTGTCAAAGTTTGGGGCCTGGGCCCCCCAAACTGAATAGGGAGCAACATCCCTGCCTTCCGTGGTAGTGCAACTTTGTCCCATGACGTGATAAACTGGCACCAAGGGTGTAGTCCCTTATTTAGCTGGGATCTCAGCCACCTCCTCCTCCTCTCCAAGCTGTTTGCAGTGGGCTCAAATCGGGGAGAAGCAGAGAAACTCCTTTTGGCCTTATTTTGCGGCGGCTGTGTGATGTAATGCCACGACCAGTGATGCGGGCGCCTCGCCCGGCCTGATCGCTGCAGGCCGTTGCTGGCCCCGACCGATCATTTGGGCACCGCCACCGGCTGTGAGGCCGACCACTGGGGTCGCCGGCGAGACCGCGCTGAGCGGTGCCGTGGCAGGTGCTGACGCGCAACCGCAGAGACGTGCGGCAGCGACATGGACGTGCTGCGCCAGAGCGTGCCGTTGTCGCGAGGCCGGTGTCGGTCTGGGAGGACGCCAGAGTGGTGGCGGCACCTGTCGGCGTGTCGCTGCGCCGATCAGCGCGGCGACCACAGTCGTCGGCCTGGCAACCGGCGACGGTGTCCACATCAGCGGCCCGAGACGTCCGCATTACCGAGTGATCAGCGCGGCGACCAGTCGTCGACCCGACAACCGGCGACGGTATCCACATCAACGGGCCGAGACGCCCGCATTACCGGCTGGCACCCACAAAGCAGCTTCAAGAACATATCCGTGTTCAGCCCAACTTGTTTTGAAAACCAAGTCATGGGATCAGAACAACGTCGCTACGAGTCCTCTTACGATCAATTTTGATTGATTTGAATGATTTTGATCAATCCCAAAGATTGTTCAAAACTTTTGAAAATTTCGCTCCACTTGCAACCTTACTCAAACAGGTATAAATGTACAATCTGTCGTCGGCATGTTTCTTTCCCTTCCAAATGCAGATGCCCATGCCTTGTCGTCAGCTCGACGCGTCATTTCTTCGGACGGCTCGTTTGCATCGGTAATGACACCATCTCAAACGCCGGGGCACGTCGGGTCTTAACAGCCAACCCCCTGGACGAAGCAAATGCGTTTACAACAGCAGCACACATTGCAACAACAAGACGGGGACCGTCGGTCCGCCAGCCACACACCGGACACGTCGCGACATGTCTCGACCCACTGCGCATGCACGTCAGAATGTGCGCCGCAGGCCTCCTTGTCCAACTTCCGCTTCCGGCGCCCACTGGGTGACTGGATCACGGGATCAGTTATGGCAAGCTGATGACGCTCACTCGTTCCTCCGTATCACTCTGCTCTTGCTGCCGAGTGGGGTGCGCACTCCTCAGGCCCAGCCGTTGCAAACACACCAGCGCAGCCTCGTGCTTGGCCTCCTTCTTGCTGCGCATTGGTTCGTTGGCCGTGTTCATCTTGCCGTTGACCCTGACCTGCGAACAAACGCACACGAGGCGTATACACCAAACTCCAACAACAGACAGGTCATGTCACGGCGGTGGGACTGTCCACTGAGTGTGGAGCGCAGAATGCTACGATATCTTGCGCCGTCATGAAAATACGCTGCATTAAGGTGCAATAGCTGGCCTTAGTTTACCATTCGCGAACCTGCTTCTGCAAATAGGCCAGATGAGGCCAGCTAGCATATGGTGCGTCCTGGGAGCTTGTTCAAATGCTTCTGGTGTTAATAAACACCTTAATCTGATGGGGGGGGGGGGGAGGGGTCAGACGCGATTGTCTTCGAAAGAGGGTTAGAGGGGTGCTTCGTAAAAAATGGTCTTTGGAGTACAACCGTCGCTATGCATGGTTAATTACGAGTAACGTGATCCAGGGATCGGCGTCGCATGTCAATCAGTGTCACGTGACGCGCTGGGCGACTGGTGTCGACGCCAGACCTGGCGCGCCCAGGTCACCACAGACCACTGACAGCGATAGGCCCGACCGTTCGCCCGGGTCACCAGACCACTAACAGTACCAGGTCCGTCCATCCGCCCGGGGCACCAGACCTGTCCTCCCGCACGAGTCACCACAGACCACCGACGGCGATAGGCCCGACCGTCCGCCCGGGTCACCAGACCACCGACAGTACCAGGCCCGTCCGCCCGCCCCGGTCACCAGACCACTGACAGTACCACGCCTGACCGTCCGCCCGGGTCACCAGACCATTGACAGTACCAGGTCCGTCCGCCCGCCCGGGTCACCAGACCACTGACAGTACCACGCCTGACCGTCCGCCCGGGTCACCAGACCATTGACAGTACCAGGTCCGTCCGCCCGCCCGGGTCACCAGACCACCGACAGTACCACGCCCGTCCGCCCGCCCGGGGCACCAGACCTGTGCTCCCGCCCGGGTCACCACAGACCACTGACAGCGACACACCCGCCCGCCGGGATCTCCAGATCACTGACAGCGCCTCGGTAGAAGTGCTGCTGCTTCTTGTCGCCGGGCGTCTCTGTGATGTGGAAGACGGGTGCCTTCCACTGGCGCGCCGCACAGTACTCATGAAGCGCCATCACCGGGGTCTTGGAGTTCAGGTTCAGGTAGGAGGAGTACAGCTCGCCACCTGCCGGCAGCCGGCCGGGTCAGGTCAGGTCAGGTCACCAGCTCCGCGCAAGTTGACGCGCGCGAACGTGAAAACTAGCTCAGTTTTGGGGCCTTATAGTTGATGTGGCGCATTCGCTTGCATGCATCATCAAACACTCGAGTAAAATCTCCCACGAGCCGGGATCGCTGTTGCTGCGGGTCGTGCGACCATGCTCCCGTGCTCATGCAACTTACCTGTGGAACGACTGGTTTGAGGTTCTGTAGGATGCTCATCAGTTTTATGTTCTGCTTTCGTTGCACTGCCATTTGGCCCGTCGCCTTCAATGTGCTTTTGTCGCAGCGCCTTTAAACGGTCCAGTATTCGCAAGCCTAGCTCACTCATCTCCTCCGCCTTCTTGGATTCTTTCTCAGTGGCCTCCACGCTTGACCGACTGAGAGCACCGTCAGAAATGTCTACCAAAACGGCCTCGAGGGCCTCCTTCTTCATCCGCTCCCTTTCTCGCTCCTTCTCGTACATCCACAGCTCGCGGGCGTACTCCGGGTCCATAGCCGCCCACGCCTCTGCCGACCTCCGCGGGGCAGACCCACCGCTGCTGGGCCCAGCCGGCGCGGCCCCGTGCTGCTGTCGAACCGGGGAACGATCACGCACGTCACCTCTGCCGCTTCTGCCGTTGTCCCTGCTACTGTTGCTGCCACCGCTGCTGCTTACGCTGCTGCTGACGCTGCCGCTGCTGGTGCCGCGGGGCCGGCTGCCCCGGCTGCCGCCCGGGCTGCGGCTGCGTCTGCGACTGCTGCGGTGCGACCCGTGCCGCCGCCGGCGCTCGTCCCCGCCGGGCGAACCGTGCCGCCGCCGCCGCCGGCCGCCCTCCTCGCCGCTGGACGAGCGCCGGCGGCGGTGGCGGCGGCGCCGGCCGTCGCTGCTGGTCGAGCGGTGCCGGCGGTGGCGGCGCTTGCGCTCCTCGCGAGCGGCGGCGCCGTGCCGGCGGCGGTGGCCGTCACTGGCCGCTGCCTCGCCCTCGCCGCCGCTGGACACCACCTCGCCGGCCTCCAGCAGCGGCACGACGAGCGCGCGCAGCCGTTCCCCGTCAAGCAGCGGGCGCCGCTCGCCCTGCTCAAGGTCCACCCAGGAGTCGAACTTGCCGCTGCGCCGCTGGAAGACGAGCCGTCCGCCGGCAACGGCGGCGCGCAAGCCGGCGTCGCGCACCAGCAGCTCTTCGACAGCGCGTCGAACCGCCTGCAGCGGGCAGCCGCTGACCGGTAGCCGCAGCACGCGCCGGTGCAGGCCCAGCTCCAGCAGCGCCTCCACGCAGGACTCGCGGCCCGGCGACAGGTTGCCGCTCAGGATGTCGTCGTACAGGTCCGGCTCCTCCATGCCCGCGGCGACGGCGGCTGCAACGAGCCACATCAACGCGGACGTTAGCCGCGTGCAACGGGGCCACAGCATAAACATCCACGCCTTAACTTAACGAACACGTAGTCCAGCGAGCAGTGACTTACAGGCCGACTACTAGTGTTCGCCCGGGTGATAACTGTTTCCGGCGGTGCCTCAGGCCGTCGGCGTCAGCGCCGCGAGACGTGACGCCTCGCCGACGAGTCGGCCGCCCCTGATATGGCCGTGTCAGGCGGCCGTCCGCTGGCGAGCGCAGCCGCCGGAGGCGACAGTCCGTTCGCTGCCACAGCTGCCAGGGGCGGCCGACAGCGCTGGCCACCGCCGGCCTGCTGACCAACGTCACATCCTTGAAGCCACGGTCGCTGCCGAGAAGCAGTCGCGTGCCCATTGCAATATTGACCAGAGCAATTTTGAACGCAGAGCTGACCAGAGCAACGTCGGTAGAAGTCACAAGCGCGGCTTGTTTTTCGCTGTCGTTGCCTCCCGGAAAATTAAAACACGCTTTCAGCCAATTTCGGCTTATGTGGAGATAGTTAATTTCATTGGGTGTTTGCTTTTCCCGGCATGGTTACTTTAGATGGCAAGGCTGCTTTTCCTGGCATGGAACCTTCTCATGGCATGGTTGCTTTTCCGCTTAACATTGTCAGCACCTTCCTTAAACTACCATCTGCCTAAAATAAGACAAACGCATTCAAATTATGAGAACTATTGACGCCACGCCAACTTCGCACGCACCCGTAAACAGCACGTAGCCACCGATCTTGCCCACGCAAGCCCGAATTGGAAAGAAACTCTCTATGATTTACCTTCTCATTCCAATCCTAATATTGTTGTATTACACTATTAGGCCCTTGAAATCTCCTCCGCGCAGCATGCAGCATTAAATGGAGTGTTCCACATTTGTGCAGGGTTTTGAACTGAAATAGCTATCTTGACGACCTTCCGGTACAGTTCACCGCCCTACTTAAGGCCAAAATCTTAAGACCTTCGAAATTCTGGAGACCTAAATCCCATTAGTTTCTGAGCTAGATGCTCGCAGAAATGGGGAAAGTATTTCAGGAAGAGTATTTCCAGGTCATCTTGGCATTCATAGCGTTAAACTAACGTCATTCAATACCTGCCATTTCATAAGCCATGTGGGGAACAAAGCCGATAAAAATATGATGGTCGGGTCGTTCATATCTGGCGCTGATGAGCACAATCTCTAGATATAACGGCCGTTACCTGGCTACCAATCAATGTCGTGCAAGGCGCGACAACGTAATCAATGACGTATCGGAGAGCATATTCACTAAGCAGAAAAACTGAGCTGTTCGTAGCGGTGTTTTCTGCTTAAAACTATACCAAAAACTATAAGTAGGCTTGTTTCGTCGTATCTGATGCTTACTCCAATACCTTCACATGTGAGACATTCGCTTTAACCAGTCGCAGTGTCATACCATCGCGCGTTTGGATGCAACCATGCAACACTGGAGCAGCCTGGTTTGAAGAGTGAGGTCCTTCAGGTAAAGTCTTGTCCGGATGGAGTACAAGCAAGCACCCTCTATCACTGGAGCAGCCTGGTCTGAAGAGTGAGGTCCTTCACGTAGTCTTGTCCGGATGGAGTACAAGCAAGCACCCTCTATCCAGTACGCGTAATGATTCGAAAAACGCGCAAGGACGTTTTAACGAGCGTTTTTGCGGTACATGCTATGGCTGAACGGGCATGCTGGATTAAGTGAGATACGTCCCCACCATGATCAGATCTTTGGATATGGTCAAGTGTTCATGATGTAAAGCTGGTTCGTGTAAAGCGGAGTTGCAGCTTACCGCGAGAGATACGAGTGAGCTCATCTTGTCATTTCACGAAATTTGAACGGCTTGTGCATTCAATTTTTAAAACGTTCTATACACATGTTCGACGATAATGTTCGATATCATGATGGCATTAGGATGCTATAAAAGATTTATTTGCCTGATTTTGCTACTTCGGGGACTTGGATTAACGTAGCCAGCACCTTGAATGGATAAATGTCAAGCTGACACATCACTCAATCGTTTTCAGCGTGCCGTCTCCCTGGATAATTTGACGCTCACTTCAAAATTTATCATAACGTAGCCTTAACCTTACGCATCGTCACGTGCTCTGCACCTGTTGCGGAAAATGCGGTAATGCATCGTGGCCCGTGGCGAGGTGTTAAGTAACGAGCTTGTCGCTGTGGCATCGCGAAGCCTCTTTTGTCGTCACTGTCTTTGAAAAATATTTGAATCAGATGTCAAGTTATCATCGTCAAGATAATAAAATCACCCAACGTCTCTGCCACGCAGTCCTTCAGCACCATAAGTGTTTTACCATTATTTGGCCTGAAGATGTTGGGCGTTACCTTAAGTCGACAGCAGGCTCACGTGCTGTGTACGTATTGACGAGCCGAACACATGCCATTGTTGACCACAGCAAGACACATGACATTCTTTGATCATCAGAGGTCACACCGGTGTGGTCCCACCAACAGTTCGCTGAGGCGGCGTCTCCGATCGACGTCAAACACACAGGGCGCACACGAGCTTCACAAGAGGAACACAGGTCAGCACCGCGGCCGCTCGGCACGGACAGACGCTTGACCTTCCGAGGTCACATCGAGACTGAACGCTACAATGAGGTGTTCGCTTGCGAAAACACATCGAGCCACTGCTGCCTCTGAAGGTGAGCTCGTGCGACACGCACCAAAAGGCAATATGACCTTCGACGAAGCAACAGCTGGCTGTGCTGGTCTCTGATAATGCCGCTGGCCTTTGTTTGGTTTATTTAGCTCACATCAGTGGGAGGCTGTGGCGTGAGACAGGAATGACGGGCAACCACACCTCAGTGTGGCCTATGGATGTCAAACAGCCGAAACCACTGGGATGTCACGCTAATTCTGTTTGGATTGTCAGGCGTCTCGCTTAGACCATAATTCCCTTCGAAAAAGATCAACATGGACCCCAACGTGTCCCTGGAAGGAAATATGATACGATGGGTCGACTAGTGCCAATTGTTTCTTCGAGTTTGTCAAGGGCTTGAGCTTTGTACCAGTTAAAAGTGACGCCCAGGTGGACCGCGCACATATGTGTATACACACACACACACACGCGCACACGCACACGCACACACACACACACACACACACACACATATATATATATATATATATATATATATATATATATATATTATGCTGTGATAATATTAGTATTTGCTAGCCTATCAGACTATCCAGCCTGCGACTGTCGCGTCAGTTATTACACGGAAGTCAGGCCTGCATAGTGACATGGTTAGTAACATGGTTAAGGGGCGGCACTGACATGATTTCTGTGTTGAATAGCAACTTGAATATGGCGGTGAACTCTGGAGGTCAAGTCGCTGGATATGTCAGTCTGTGAGAACATGAACTTTTGTTTACCTGGCCCGCAGGCTCGCTCTGGACCATGTGGCCGTTAGCAGTTAGCAGTTAAGTTTTGCGTCGTCATGCAGGCCCCGTCCTTCCTGTACGCGTGTCGCCCTTATGAGGTGACGTCCCCTGACCTGTCATTAGTGTCAAAATTGTGGGGGCTCTGGGTCATCAGCATATACGATATGAGCAGCTTTGTGATCAACTTGTTTATTTGCTAAAATGCTATCTCGGGATTGTTTTGTGTTAATTGAGGGCGACGTCCATTTGGCTAATGTGATTTGGCCTCTGGAGGTTGAAGGGTTGCGCCGGCCGTTGAACCGTTCAAGGGATGCAGTGAAATGTCATGCGCTACGAGTCTCGAATAGTTCTACGTGCTTGAAATGCTTACCAGAACTCGACGTGACTTATGAGTCTTAACGTGAAAATGAAGACGCACCGATGGACAGGGGTCAAGCGTCGACGCATGGCATGGCGAAAAAATGTGCACACATTTAGTATACATTAATCGCCTTTTGTATTCAAGAACGCCCGACGCACGTCGACGCACCACCAGTTATGTAACGTTAGCAACTACAGTGGTCACATCGGCGCCCAAGGCACCAGCCGGGAATCGGCACCTATTCGGCATCGGCACCAGCAGGGAATCAAGCCCGGACCTTCCACCTGAAAACCAAGCTCGCCACAAACTGAGCTGTCTCATCCCGTTTCATAGCGTTTATAGCTGTCGCTGAAATCCCATGCTTGTCAGCTGATGACAGAGTGTTCATACGGCGGTCCCCATGCGCAACACGCGCTCCGCGTTCGGCTCTCATTCACGCAGTTTCGGCAACGTACGTCAACCCTTCGCGAAACACCTCGCAATTTTAGCACTGAAAATGCGGATGATGCAATTCGATTTGCCAAGTAATTGGAATTGATACATATCCGTGCTTATGTCAAATATATTGAATGCAATGTGTCGGGCTGTCAAGGCCCTGGCTTTCGGAAGACAAGGCCTTGGCTTTCGGAAGTTGCTGAGACACAATGGGTTACATAAACAAAACAATTGCATCCGTTCGCGAAGTGCACCCATTCATAAGGGACTCAACCCAATACAGTGGCGTGGTCAATGAGAAGGCCTTTGGGGTTATTGCCACCCCCTGGAGGTGGCGGTGCCCTGGGGTCAACGGCCCAGTTCTTTGTGGACATTTAGGGAGGCTCACAAGCTCACACATACAAAAATCGGACCGCCGAGGCATGAAAATAGTCGCGAGCTTACAGAGCTCCAATGAATAAAAAACCTGACCGCTGTAGCGACGAAGGGCTTCTTACCTGAAAGCTAAAACGACCCGATTTGGCCCCTGCTGAGCGGAATCCTGGCTACACTACTGACCAAGTGGGCAATGTTACTGGGGTCCAATGAGCTCTTGTGCCATAATATACAGGTGAGTTGGTATTACTATGATGCATGTTTGCGTTCGAAATAAGAATGTGCTGATACACTTACACAGTTTTTGCAACGTTTTAGCGCGGGCATCCAACTGTGTTTGAACGGCTTTAAAAATTAATAACAATTATTGATCTTCATGTTTCGCGGGATGCCAGGGCAA